GCCTACTTATTAATGTATGGTGGATTTGATGGCAAACTGTGGTTTTGGTCATTTCTGAGTATGGTTTGGATATATGTATATATGTTGTACTGTCTTATGGAAAACGATACGGGTTTTACATTTAGGGGCATGACTTTTAGAGAGGTAGTAACTTTGGGAAGCTTGGTTTTATTGCTTACTCACACCTTCTGTTTGGTGCCCTCCAGGTTTTAGCTGCTGAGTTTGTATCGACAAGAATCTGTGGCGAATCTTAGTATTGATGGATATTTTTGAGGGTATGATTCTTACCCACATTATTGTACCTTACTTATGCTCTGACATCGCGCGTGAAATGGGTTCACTCCCACTCGTAGCGCACTCTGGTATTTAGACACTTTTAGATTCAAATTTATTCACTTTTTATACACTATCACATTTTATGGTTTCGTCACCTTCCAAGTGTCGGCCAGCACAGCTCGATTCAGGGTCCAAGTGGACTTTCTGGGTCGGGGTGTGTCATGCTAAGTGGCTATACAACGTTGAAATGAAATAGTAAGTAAAGGTATGTGATTAAAATGTTTCAAAAATATTGTATGAGGTTGCAATTGACCACAAACTTGAAGGAATAAAATGTAATTTACTAGAAAAATTAATAAGAGAAACTTGTCAAACGTCAGCCTCACATCTCAGGTGGTGATTTATTTTTATTTTTTGTTTAATTAAATAGTTAATTGAAAAAGCAAAGTACCCTCTTACGTCATCAACAGTCGCTTTGGCCGAGTGGTTAAGGCGTGTGCTTGCTAAGTGCATGGGGATTCCCCGCGAGAGTTCGAACCTCTCAGGCGACGATTTATTTTTAATTTTAGTTTAATTTTTTTCAGCCATGCTTGTGGTGCTCTATTTGCAGTATCATGTAAATTGGAATGGCCAATATTTGTAGTAAGTATACGTTACTTCAACGTGGCCATACAAAGCTCTTTTTTTTTTTTTTATCATTTCCAAAAACTTAAGAAACCAAATGTAAAAAAGAATCAAATGTCTCATGATAGGATGATGAGACAATGTTGCTAATGTAGAAAATCATGTTTTGCCATAAAAAGTATGTACACACCTATTATAGAACATATTGTGTACATATATATAGAACATTCATCAATATTAACCAAAAGGTACTGTACCATAAAACGTTTGGTAAATTCTTCAAACCCAAAATATGGGTACATTCTTCATAACCACGAAAAAAATAATAATAATAGTAGATATTAAGCCTAATAATATTAATAAATTTCTTCGAATAATTTGGCATGGATACGTTTTCTAATCAACGAAAAAGATGTACCCATATAAGTTTAAAAAATAGATTAGAAAAATGTGGGATCCACAATTGAGACATATCATTTAACGGTCAAATTTAGCAGATTGACTAACAAATGTATGAAATTGAAATGAAATAATAAGTAAATGTATGTGATTGAAATGTTTTTAAATGTTGTATGAGGTTACAATTAACCACAAACATGAGATGGTAAAATGTAATATACCCAAAAAAGATTAACAAGAGCAACCCACCAAACATCACCATCTCCTCTTACTTTTTGTGGAAAACCCTACAATTGTAAGGATTGGTTTGGATGTGCTTTTAAAATGACTAAAGCACTTTGAGCGAAAATGTTTTTTGGTTCCAAAAACACTTAAAGTGCTTTCTGCAAAAAGCACCAGTTATGAGCTTCTTCTAAGAAGCATTTTAAGTGTCTTTTCAGAATTTACTTGCATTTTTACTAAGGATTGGTTCTAAAAACACTTTCACCAAAAACGCTTTCTATCATTTTAAAAGCACACGAATTGCTTGACGTGGGCAATATGTTCTTTAGGATTGCCCTTTCCATCGAATTGCATGAACTTTGGCGGCTGATAATCCCTTGGCATCCTCAAGGCGTTAATATTTTTGGAGTAGGGCTTTGAGTACAACACGAAGTCATGAGAGCTTCCTTGGTACTGCATCTTGATGGTGCTAGTGATCATCTCTTGCAGCTATTGGATAAAGAGAGATCCCATGAGCAATATTGCTTAGTCCAGCTTCTTTTCGACTTTCTCCACCAGAGCTCTTTCTTTTTATCGGTTTCCTCGTTTGGTGGGTCAACCTTCGGGTTAGCTTTGTCATCGTGCTGCGCTTCCAGACGGTTGACAAGCATAGCAATTTGCAAGTCATTCTCCCCCACAATCCTTGTTAGCCTTGCAATTGCTTCACTTATTTGAGCCAACTGCTCATTGATGGAAGTTACGCCAGTAGTCTTGACTTGCATGGCTACGGGACATGAGCTGCTTAAGTCGACATCAGAAGCCAAAGACTCAGAGTAGCTTATTGGACTTTCTTCCCTTGGCGCCTTTAGCGAAGCCAGGGTGATCACAGGTTCGTGCCTCGGGTGCTCTTGCTCCTTCGACAGAGTTGATGGACGGGTGGAAGGCATGGCAGAGAGAGTTCTTGCCTTGCTTCAGGATGTAACGCCTAAAGTGCCACCACTTGCAGCAATGATGCCCTTGTTCTTTGCGTTGGTAACAGGAACAGCTTGATCCTTCCTTAATACCATTTGTGTGTGTGTGTGGTTTTTTTTTTTTTCGCAAATTTGAAGGCATAGATGAGAGGCAGAGATATCTCATCGAGCGTGCCAAATTTGTAAACACGAAAATTCTGTATCAAATGAAATGAGAACACGTGTACAAAGTAAATTTGTATTGATTTGAATTTGTAGGTTACAATCTCTTTTTACAAGTTTTCCTCTGATTTAGTCTTCAAATTTGATGTAGATGCGTGATTATTGATCCAAGGGTCGTGATGACTTGATCTAGGATGAATAGTTGAAGGATTACTTTAAGTTTTGAGCTTGAAACGGTGTGTGGATGGTCTTCACCTCAAAGCTACGGCAAAGGGTAGTGTTTGATGCAGGATTTCATTGCTTCAAGGGTCTTGGGGACTTGATCTTGAAATGAACGTTGCTACAAGTTTAGAAGCTTGCAACAAAGTCTTGAAGGAATCGGCACAAGCACTTGTTGATTCTTCAAGGAAGTGCTTCGATTTTGTTTAAGAGAAAGCTTAGGCTTTGGTTAAATGTTTTTCGAAGAGAGCTTTGGCAGTGTATTAGTCTTCAAAGATTTGGTAGAGGTTCTTCTGTGTAGAGATTTTTTCGACCTTTATGCTTATGGGAGAACCTTGTATTTATAGGGTTCTCAAGGCTTGCCTCTGGGTGGACTTAGCTTTGATTTATGACCTAATTTGTCCATGGGAGAATTTTGGCATGTTTTGTGTCTTAGTTTCAACCACTTTACTCCCTTAGCAGAAATTATGAGGCCTTGTTGCCTATTTTGTGAGGAATCTTCAATTCTTGCTTATTTTATGAAGATGCCTTATGTCACATCCCGGCCCGGGGTCCACCACATCCTGGGGCCGCTCCACCACCGTAGCAAGATATTGTCCACTTTGGGCCCCGACAACGTCCTCACGGTTTTGTTTCTGGGAACTCACACGAGAACTTCCCAATGAGTTACCCATTATGGGAATGCTCTCGTGCGAACTCGTTTAACTTCGGAGTTTTGATGGAACCCAAAGCCAGTGAGCTCCCAAAAGGCCTCGTGCTAGGTAGGGATGGAAATATACATATAAGGATCACTCCCTTGGGTGATGTGGGATCTTACAATCCACCACCCTCAGGGGCCCGACATCCTTGTCGACACATCACGGCCAGGGTTAGGCTCTGATACCAAATTGTCACATCTCGCCCGGGGTCCACCACATCCCGGGCCTGCTTCCTCACCGTAGCACGATATTGTCCGTTTTGGGCCCCTACTATGCCCTCATGATTTTGTTTCTGGGAACTCACACGAGAACTCCCCAGTGGGTCACCCATCATGGGAATGCTTTCGCATGAGCTCGCTTAACTTCGAAGTTCCAATGGAACCCAAAGCCAGTGAGTTCCCAAAAGGCCTCGTGCTAGGTAGGGATGAGAATATACATATAAGGATCACTCCCCTGGGCCCAGGGCGATGTGGGATCTTACACCTTAACTTTCTTTCTGGTTTTAGGACCAATCTAGACCTTTTTGCCGAATTTAAGGGAGTTTTCTCCCTTGTGCCAATTTTTAGGGAGATTTTATATTTCCTTTGCTTGATTTGTGCCACATGTCATTAATGACTTGTCCATTTATGATGAATCATATGTCACATGGAGCTTTGTTATGCATCATTTATATACAACGAAATTTACATGTCTACAGGGTAATTACTTGATCCCTTGTACAACTGCTATAGTTGGAAAAATTACATGATCCCACGTAATTACTACAAACACCACCACACGGTATGTATAATCAACTGCGTGGTATATGTAATCAGCCTACGTTTATCGTATGAGTAGAAAACAAGTTTAAAGTGCGGATGAACCTAAACCACAAAACGTGGGTTTTATTCTAATCTTTAGACTCCCTGCAGTTTGAATTTTATCAATAGAGCAGTTTATTTTAATCCAATTTCCATAGCATATTTTAGTGAAAACTAAAAAAATTTCAAATTAAACCCTTTAACCAGCATGCGTAAGCAATTTTTTAAAACATTATTTGGAAACAATCTGCTCAGTTGTTAGACAAGATTTAATTAATTCGAAATTATCTCCGTAATTGTAGTATGTATTATAGAAATATACGATAATTTTTCCTTGTTATTAGTATAAGATTCCTACTAAATAGGGATTAATATAACCCATATATATTGAAATATTTTCTAAACATCAATGCAAGAAGTCATAATTCTACCTGATATCATTTGTCTAGGTTTTCATTCTCTTTGATCCTGGTTTTCATTCTTCTCTCCCGGTTCAATATAGTACATTAACAAAAAAAAAATAAACATCAAAATAGTTTATTTTCGTTCCCCATTTAGGCCTCGTTTGGCACATCGTATAAGACACCGAACAATACTAATAATATAGTACGGTGTTTGGTGTTCGTTTGTATTAAATAGCCACCGGATTAAATAATCTGAGCCCACCTACTTTATACGGTGAAAATCGGCTTGTTTATCCTCTCCAAAATCACGGTACAATTTAGTCGGGCGCTCTCTCCTTCCTTTCCAAACGCAGCCGCTCTCTTTTCTCCAGGTTAGTCTTCTCACACCTTCTTCTTCTTCGTTTGAATCCCTGTTCATCTTCTCATTTTTCTTCTTCTTCCCAGGTTCCCCTCCCTCTGTTCTTCTTCTTTGTTTCCCCTCCCTTTGTAATTCCCCCTCCTTCCCACAAATCCCATAACCCAATTCCTCCGCCAGCTATCCAACTACCCCGATGATTTTCGATGACGCTGCATCAATCAATCCCGGTCACAACACACTTCACAGAGTTGGACAACCCGACGGAGACGGTAGCCCACTGCAAATCTCCTCGGTAACACCCATCGATTATGTTCCGCCGTTGCTCTCTTCTTCACCATTATTGCCAGCAATGGCAATTTCTCCTATCAAGGCACATTTGAACGATTTGTTGGCAACGACAATTCCAACCAGCATGCAAGGTTTTGTTTTTCCTCTAAGAAACGCAGGAACCACCAAAATTGCAGCCCTCTTTCCACTTGCAGAGCAACACACCAATGATTCCATCAACCTTAAGGAGTATGGAAATTACTAGAGCTTCAACTCAAAGATTATACGCCTCTGTATGCTTCCCTCAATGCATACGAACACCACAAAGCATAGACATGAGGTATTGACATCCTTGGTTTTCAATTTTACAAAATGGAAGGACAAATGGTGTTGGATTTTGAAGTTTATTTTGCCATATTATACTAATGTTATTCTAATCATATCTGAAGACTTCTTGACTAATAAATGTGGATGGGTTAATTGGTATCTTGTGGGAAAATTTTTGAAAAAAAAGATTGTTATGCATTTGTGGGGTTTTCAAATTTTCAATAGGAATAAATATGAGAAAAGTTCAACAAACAAACAAAGATTTGTCAAATTTTTTTTTCTTCCATTTTCTTATCATATTCAATACCAAACATAGTATAAATAATATGGTAATTAGTCCGATACTGCACCAAACACGAGACTAATTTAGTCAGTATTATCTAGTGGCTATTTATCCTATCCGACAGAAATAGTTAATACAGTCCGAGTTGCCAAACGAGGCCTTAAGGTCTACATTAGGTGCTTTACTATTTCTTTCTTCCCCATCAAACTTCCAGAGTATCCTACGATCGCTCCATCATCAATCCCTGCGTCTCTCAAGCATCCATTACCCTTTTCATTTCTTCTTGTTTTATGTGTCTCCTCCAAACGAAGCCTTCCCTTATCCGAAGCTTTCCCTTTTATCCTTTAGTTGCTTCAAAGTTCCGTTTTTGTTTTTCTTTTTTTATGGCATCCCCTTAACCTTTAGTCCAAACAGCATGCAGTCATGGCCCTTTCACAACATTCAGCATGGCCCATCAACATGCAGTCGTGGCCCAGCAGCAGCAGCTCACATGGCTTGGGCACCCATATGAGAATGTGAGGACAAAGTCCCACATTGGTGAGGACCAAACTATATAAGAGTTTATAAAATTTTGGACTACTCCTTATATTGTTAATTGATTTTATAATAAAACCCTAACTTCTTCAACCTAAACCTGCTATTGTTGGCCTTTTAGGCCTTCCATGGTGTTATCCATGCTATACCTCTCAACACACTCATGCCACATGTCCTCACACGCCCCATAGGCCCGATACTGCTCATGTCCTCGCCGAAGTCCAATTTACTCTTCCGTCTAATCCAAAATATTATTTTGACATGGAAATTTCGTTGCATACAACAGATGCATCGCAAAGCTCCACGTGGCATATGACTCATCATAAATAAACAAGTCATCAATGACACGTGGCACAAAGCAAGCAAAGGGAGTACAAAAGCTTCCTAAAACTCGACCAAAAGGAGAAAAGCTCTCCTAAATTTGGCTAGGGGATCAAATTGACCCTAAAATCGGAAAGAAAGCTAAAGGCATCTTCATAAAACAAGTAAGAATTGAAGATTGCTCACAAAATAAGTAACAAGGTCCTTAAATTCGGCCAAGGAGTAAATATGGCTGAAATTAATACACAAAACATGCCTAAAATCATCCCAAGGGCAAGCCTTGAGAAGCCTATAAATACAAGGTCCTCCCATAAGAATAAGGTTCAAAAAATCCCTACACAGAAGAACCTCTACAAAACCTTTGAAGACTAATACGCTGCAAAAGCTCTCTTCAAATAACATTCAACCAAAGCCGAAGCTTTTTCTCGACCAAAGCAGCAGCACTTCCCTGAAGAATCAATAAGCGCTCGTGTCGATTTCTTTAAGACTTTGTTGCAAGCTTATAAACTTGTAGCAACGTTCGTTTCAAGATCAAGTCGCCAAGACCCTTGAAGCAACGAAATCCAACATCCACACCATTTTTGCCGCACCTTGAGGTGAAGACCATCCCCACGTTCGTTTCAAGCTCCAAACTTGAAGCAATCATTCCGTGATTCAACCATCTACATCAAATTTGAAGACTTAATCAAAGGAAAAGTTGTAAACAAAGATTGTAACCTACAAATTCAAATCAATACAAATCTACTTTGTACACGTGTTCTCGTTTCATTCGATACAAAATTTTTGTGTTTACAATGCTGTAACTAATGAAGTTTAATGTTGTGCTGACTATAGAAACATTAATGAGGCCACACCTAAAGATGAATACCCCATGCCCATAGCCGACCTATCCATAGATGCAGTTGCAAAACACAAAGTCTTATATTTCATGGATGGGAATGAGGGTTATAATCAAATAAAAATGGCTAAAGAAGATATACATAAGACAACTTTTAGGTGCCCAGGACAAGTAGGAGCAAATGAATACGTTGTCATGCCATTCGGGCTAAAAAATGCCGATGCAATTTATCAAAGAACAATGAATGCCATTTTTCACAATTTAATTGGGCATAGCATGGAGGTGTACATTGATGATATAGTGGTCAAGTCTAAAATTGAGGAGCAACACTTGGAAAATCTCAAGCAAGCCTTAACCAGAATGAGGGTCCATAAGTTGAAAATGAATCCAAAGAAATGTGCTTTTGGAGTTAGATCGAGCAACTTTTTGGGATTCCTTGTTCATCAGAGGAGAGTGGAAGTAGACAAGAATAAGGCTTGGGCTATAATGGAGTCACCTTTTCCTACCAAAAAGTACAATTGCAAAGGCTACTAGGGAAAATCAACTTCTTAAGGAGATTCATTGCTAACTTGGCGGGCAAGATTCAAACGTTGACTCCTCTATTGGGTCGAAAATACCATAGCCCAAAATTGGGCTGGGTGTCGTGAGCAAAAGAGCTTGAAAGTGGGCTGCAGGCCACAGGTCTAGGGGGTAAGCCCAGCCGTAAGGGCTGGCGTGTTGGGCCAAAGGCGGTGGCACGGGTTCAAGCCTAGCAGACGCTAGCTTGTAGACTAGCACACGGGAGGCCTAGCTAAAGCTGAAGCCTTTATCTTTGGGCTGGGGAAAAGACCCAGTCAACCGAGCTGGTTGGATGGCTATGGGCCAGAGCAACACAAGGCCCAGCAAGCATAAAAGCTTACTGGTAGTTGGGCCAAGACAGTTTAGTGTTGCGTAGGCTTCAGACCCTGTCGAGATTGAACCCAGGCCGATGCTTGATTGCTGTGATGGTCAGCTGGGCTTCAGGCCAGCTACCTTGTCGACAATGGTGAGGTGTGTGTGTCGCACCATGTCCAATTTTCCCTTATTTTTTTTTTTCGACATGCGTAAGGTTTTACAAACCTTAGATTTGCTTCTAATTTATATATATACTTTGACTCACAAATTCCACATAGCAATTTAATTACGTAATGCATGAAACAAATATATATCTATATATCTATGTGTGTGTATATATTGACAAATATATGAATATATACGATATATATATCGTAAGGAAAATATAAATGTATAGGGGTTCATGCACCATGGGGAATGTTTTCATGCTTTGTAGACGTTTCAAATATCTTCTTTTATTTTAAGCGTACCTGATTAGCAGAAAACAAATATAAGCCTTTGAATTTTGTAGAAGATAGCCTCCTCTTACGATCCGTCAATTCCTCAGCTTCTGGCAAGAACGTGCTGATAACGTGTTGTAAGCCTATTTGATTGAATGATCTTAGGTCTAGAAAAAGAGGGGGCTGGCGGCAATTAGAGAGGGGAGATAGTGATTTCATTGTGAGGTGTGTTTGACTCACTCTATTGTGCCTTTATTTATAGTAGTAGGATAGGCAAAAACCTTTACCTTTAGGATTAGAACATTTAATAGGTAATCAACTCCTAATATGAATATAAGATACATTCTCATAGCTACCAGGATTTGCACAATCACATTCTTATTCTAAATATGACTACAACACATGTCAATTTATAAATATGATTTTTACCCAAATTACAAGTTTATTTCCTTTGTTCAAATATAATGTAATATTTAAAATAAAATAAAAATTAAAAATAAAAAGCATTTCTCTCTACTCTCCGCACTCCCACGTCTCCCTTCCATTTTATACACATTGTGTGGGCATAAGCTAGTTTTTATGAAGGGATTGGGATCCTATTTGGATTCAAATTGTAGAGATTTTAGGAGTTCTTACATTGTAATTGTTTATCATACATCGTATATTTATAAATCGTTTTGAATTTTTTTATTTAAGATTAAACATAAATAATACTAAACGAAAACTGACCATACGTACAATAAATGGTCGTGATGTGGGAATCCAAAGAGGAACCTTTTAGAATAGTGAATGAGTCAGTTTTCACCAAAAATAGGAAAATCATGCTAACAGGTTCAAGCAGATTCTTCCCTCCATAAATCATCCTCAGCAAAAGTTTGTCGGAAAGAAGATTTGCGCACGGATTCGCTGACTCACTGGAGATGATGCGAGTAACAACAGCTGCTGTTGCTTCTTATTCTCTTTCTTTGAAGGTTGGTTATGGCGGCAGCAGCAGACTCAGACTCAGAGATATGCTGCCTCGTCTTCTTCAATCTTCTTCTGTTGTTGTTTTCTTCAACAATTACTTGGCTTTGTTTCACTCTCGAGCTTCTAAATCGCCCGAATCTAGAAACACCCAACAACACGGGCCTGTGAAAATCGCTAATGTTGAGGATACTCTCAATGTGTTCGACGAAATGCTTCATTGGCGTCCTCTGCCTTCCGTTGTCCCTTTCAACCAAATCTTGACTCAACTTGCCAAGTTGAAACATTATTCGGCAGTCATCTCCTTGAATAACCAAATGGTTGTGTCCAGAATTCGTCCAGATGTTTATACTCTAGCCATAATCATTAATTGCTTTTGTCATCTCAACCAAGTGGAGTTTAGTTTGTCAGTCTTGGGTAACTTCTTCAAATTAGGTTTTGAGCCAGATGTCATGACCTACAGCACTCTAATCAACAGCTTTCTTCTTAAGAATAAAGAGGCCGAGGCTGCAGCACTTTTCGATAAAATGTTGGAGAGTGGTAATTGCAAGCCGAATGTGGTTTCTTTTGGCACATTAGTTAAGCGTCTTTGCTTGAACGGTAACAATGGTGCAGCAATCCAATTGCTTAAGAAGATGGAAGAAAGTGGTTGCAAGCCTAACGTAGTTGTCTATAGCACGATCATCGACAATCTTTGCAAGGATACTCTAGTTGTTGATGCATTGAAGCTCTTTTTAGAAATGACAATTAAGGGTATTGCAACAAATGTCATTACCTATACATCTTTGATTCATGGAGTTTGCAAATTAGGAAATTGGAAAGAAGCTACAAGATTGTTGAATGAAATGGTGAGTAAACATATCTTTCCAAATGTGCACACCTTCAATGTCCTTGTTGATACATTCTGCAAAAAGGGGATGGTCTAGGAAGCAAGGAGCGTGGTTGA